TGATGATGACTATTTTAGAATGAACCAATCATTTTACCCCTCTATATAAAATCGTGATATAGTTTTTATATATTAAGATATATAAAGCTTATCAAAATGAAGGCAACTACCTATTAAATGATTTTACCCGTGTACTATATTAAAGATTCTATATCGTTAAAATACTGTGAAGGTAAAAGTCAAATATCTATCGTAAAGAAATGTCAAGTATAAATTCACAGTGTGATTCGAGATATGATATTATATTATATTGTAATGTTATGCTAATATTCATTTGAGAGAATCGATACAAGTGAAATTATGATCAAATTGAAATAATACAAATTAATTGTTATCATGTGTGAACTCATTTAGACCAAGTTCAATATGCTGATAAAAAACTATTAAAAACGTAAATTTAATGGTTGTAACATATTGGATAGAATTAATTCCTTTTGATCGTGGTCATTCAATATTTTATATATATGATTGACCACCAAGATAATTCAACACTTGTTTCATTAAAAATATTAATTGGTTTTCTCAAATGAGTATAAATATGAGTGGAATAATAGAGTTCGATGGTTCCAGTATTTTCCATCGTACATCTCGTATGTGTATTTAACTAACTAGTTAAATAGATTGAATAAAATAGTTGTTAATTATAAAGTCTTAATATATACGGGAGCTGGGACGCTAGAATATTGTATTGTATGCATCATTCTACAAAATGACTTGTCTTAAAGATGTTTATCATAAGAAATAAAGACTTGTCTTAAAGATGTTTATCATAAGAAATAAATTCAAGAAAAATACATTTCTTACCTGTAATTAGTACTGGTAAATAAACTATAACTATTAATATCAATATATAATTATACTCCATGTTATTGAATAATATTCAACATGACGATCTTCTCTTGTCATATATTTGGCCTACTAGATTGTAGTATTTTATTACAAGGCTATAATTTACTTCCTCTTACACTTGCAAATACCTTTATATTATGCTATATATTATTGTTTAACATGACCTAAATACATACTACTATATTTTA